ACGGTAGCCTCGCCGATAACACTAATGAATCGTTATAAAATTTTTATGGCATACCTATTCATAATGCAGTATTGGAAAAAGTTACTTTTTTTTTTCAAAAATCAATTACTCGTGATGATGGGCTGAAACTGTAGTGTCTCCAGTTACAAGAGAGAGGCACCCAGTAATCCGCTTCTTTGAAAGCAAAGTTACAAAACAGTAAGAAAGCTAACACATTATTAATTTTGTATTAAATATCATTTACCTCAAGCCTATGTAAATAGGCAAGTATCTACATATATTTGATGGATTCATGACATACTGAATTTCTTCAATATTTCTAGGCCTTGCAGTTTGTGAGTTTTTTCAAATTGTCACAAATCTCCAAAAAATGTTTTCAATATATTTGTTGGAAAATCTCCACGTATAAGTGGAACTGTGTTGTTCAAGGGTCCACTGGAATGCATGTCAATCATGGGACATGTTTGAAAGTACAAAGTTAAAGAAAGTAAGGTGCTTATAATCACATCTCTCAAAGATGTCAACCAGAATTAACATTTCTTTATGCAACATATATGCATATATTTTTAAAAAGTAAAATTTGGGTAGTATTCGTTATACACACTGTTTTGTAACCTGCTCTTTGCCCTTAATTATGAACAATTTCCCAAATCTTATGTTAATATTTAGACTTTTACTGGCTGCAGGGTATTTCCTGAGCATTCTCTAATATGTGCCACTCTCTACCTAACCTCTACCTCCTACAGCTGTAGAGCTGAGTTTTCAATTTTCTTCTTTCTGGTAACAATAATGAGGTTATAAATGATTTTCAGAAGAATTATCTGCATTCATTTTTAGGTAAGGTCAGTTCCTAGATATGGGACTCCTGTGTTGATGTTATAAAAGTCTTACAGTACTTTTGTATCAGCAAGTGTCCCAGAACAGTGGCGCTAACTTCCATTCTCACCAGCAATGTACAGGCATGTACATTTCCTGGCACAGTCACAGATTCTGTTTATTACTTTTTCCTCGCTGCCTAAATTGATGGTAGAAACTGGTATCTAAACACTGTTAGAACTTAATGTTTTAAATGAGAACTGTTCAACACTTTCTGTATGTATTTCTTAGCCATCTGTGCTTCTGTTTAGGTGAATATTTTATTTGTGCCTTTAGCACTTTTTTTTAGATATTTATTGTTTCTTTATTATATTCCTTTAAATACTAATAAGGATATTAACAGGTTTCCCATTTTGTCACTTGCCTTTCATTTTGTTTGGTTGGGGGTGATTTTTTCGCAAGATAGTTTTTCATTTTTATGTTGATGTATAAATCTCTTCTCCTTGAATTACTTCTTTTGCAATCATGATACATAGACCTTCCTCACCTCCAAGTTCACACAAGTCTTACCCTCTTTTTACGCTCATTCTTTGATCATTTCATGTCTCACATTAATTCTTCAGTCCACCTGGAATTTACTTTGATGCATATTTTGTCTTTAGCTTTTTGTTCTCTTTTCTTTCAAAGATCCTGGAAATTTTAACTTCACACCCCGCCTGTTCATCCTCAGCAGTTCCTCTGGTGATTTCGCAGCCACGGAGTTCATGTATCCTGCCCGAGACCCCTCTGTGGTCAATTCTATGCCCTTCCTGCAGGAAGACTTGTACAGTGCACCGCAGCCAGGTATGGCCCACGGGCAGGGGTAATTTTGAGCAGAAGACACACCTTCCAAAAACCTTTATATTTTACTCTCTCCTCTAGTAAGCAGTTTTTACTTGCCAAGTATACTTTATTACATGATCTCATTTAATCCTCACACCTACCCCAAAGGAAAGTTGACATCAGTCACGAATTACAGTATAAAAACTGACCTTCAGTTACTTAACTCACCCAAATTCGTCAATGCATAGGTTGAGCACAGCTGTGTCAGGCCTGAGTCTCTGCTGTTCTCTGAGCCTTCCTTCTGTCTTGCTGCTTCATGGCCCTCAGGTGGCTGCCCTTGCTCCAGCCATCATGTTCCCGTTCAGGACAGAAAGAAGGGTAGGAAGAAGGGCCGTGATGGCCATGTCTCTCTCCCTTTTATCAGATGAAACAAAAGCTTTCCCAGAAGCCCCCAGCAGACATCCCCCTGGCCAGCGCTCTATCCCATGGCCACCCCTGGCTGCAAGGGAGCCTGGGAAAGCAAAAGTCCCAGGAGCAGGGGGTTGGGAGGAGCTGTGGAGTGAGCCAGAGAGCAGTGTCTGCCAAAAGAGGCTGCACAGCAGGGCCAAGACTGTTGCCTGTGTCTTCGGACCCCATTCCCTTGCCCGCCACCGCAAAACAGAGCCTCTGTGCTCTTGTTGGAGTTGGGACAGTCGCCAGAGACTGGGCTACAGCTGAGTCTGAAGTCGACTGCCCAGCATCTCTGCCCTCACGTTGCAAGCACCTGGAGTGGCAGCCAGGAACCTCACGGACACTGGCAGCCCCAGCACTGCCTTAAATGCTGGACTGGTGCATGCGTCACACTGGGGAACATTAGCAAGTACTGCAAAGGGGCTGCCACCTGCCCTCTTCATCTCAGGGCTCAGGATTGGTTAGCAGCCTCCACAGAATCCTGAGATGGGAGCCCAGAAAGGCCTCGGGCGAGCTGAGCTCGCGAGTGTGAGAGCCCCCATGCCTCTCACAGTTGGGCCTACAGTTTGCTGGAGAGAAAAAGTGAGCAGCGCTTGGTTTTTCAAGCCCAACTCTCCCCAAATGAGCCGCAGACGTAGAGCGCCTGCCGGCCTTCTAGGCAGGCCTGGACCTGCTGAGCTG